CGTCCTAGGCAACCCCCTGGATGGAGCTTCACCTTCACCCACATCCTCTGTGGCCGGTCCCTCACATTCCAGAGCCCCATATCTGTTGCTTAAGGGCAATTGGGCAGGTGAGGGAGGCCGGGGGGCGATTCGCTTACCACCCCGAGCAGGCACCCGTTTCCATTCCCCCTCATCTCTTAGGTCCCCTCTTTCTGCTCAGTGGCAAGAGAGAGCAAAGGGAACAGGTTACTTCTCCCTGACGTACAGTGAATGCTTGCCAATAATCAGCTGCTGATGTTCACGGACAAACGGGTTGGCTCCAAGGTACAAGGTGGCTAAATCCCTCCCTCAGGTACACTACTTGCTGCAAAAACTGTAATCCCACTTCATCTCATTGTTTCTGTTTGGGCAGCCTGCTCCACTGTAATGAAAACTTTTGAGCTGTCGGTCTGACATCTTGCTTAGGAATTAGCAATAAATGAAGGAACAAGGCACATACGTGGTAATATTGTTAGGAAGGCATGAAATCAGGGCAGAAAACCTAAGAATATCTACCGATGCACCCAATTATCTCTATGCAACAGCACAGAGCAATTAAGAGCTCCTAGACAACGCAGATTGCACCTACAGGGATGGAAGAGAGAGAGAAACAAGCCTGGACTGTCTTGACCTAAGCCAGTCACACACTGTTCTCTCCAGCACTCCTCAGTGAAAAGGGGCATTTAACTTTCATTGCTTTTAGCCAGATGAACCTCAGTGGGATTTCAGCTCTGACATTTGACTTCATGCCTCAGCTACGCTTATTAGCTTGAGTGCAGCATCACATGAACCCAACCACATGCAACCCAGATACACCGTAGTTCTCAGGCAGCTCGCATCTGTGCACATTAAGTTTCCCTTCCCAGCTACAGGCACAATAAGAAGTACGTAACTACCTTGCTTTTTTAAATGAAGGACATCAACCTAGCATTAAGAGCATTTCCTAACCCCTAGGCTATTTACCGAAGAGCCTTCTGGATTTGCAACCTAACTTCACAAAATGGCCAGACATTCTGGAAACATTAACTGGTAAACGTTGCTCAGTGAGAGCACAAAGCTGGTGTCAAATATTTACTGGATATTATAAAACACTTAGAATCTGACTTTTTTTAATCCTAACCTTAATCTTAGATGTAAAACTACTTTTTTGCAAATTAGTAACTTAAATACTGACAATGAGCTGTTGATTTTTACGAGAGGACAAGTTTTTATATTGCTAATATACTGAATATATCATATGTTAAATAAATCCAATTATTTTCCATCATAAGAACAAAGAGACTATGACTATGTTTCCAGTGAACATATTAAAAAAAGCAAATGTAAAAAAACATCAAGCCATTCATCTTCTCCTCCATGCTAGGGATTAATTTTAAATACAGACAGTTTGAGTCATTTTTTTAATGTTACTGTATCAGTGGAAAATTCTTCTCATTAAAACTCAGTTATAAAAGATGACAGTATGTGTTTTCATTTTTCCTTCTTGCCTCAGGGCACAAGGTTTTGTGACACAGGTACTAGGCTTGATTTTAAGGGGTGCTAAAAGAGACAGCACAAAAGTTTTTAACAGCTGACACCATCTCTAAATTTTAGGAAAACCCTATGAAATTTAAATTCATTAAAAAGATTAAAAAAAAATCAAAACCAGCGTGTCACTAGAAAGTCCATGTCAATAACAATTCAGGATTTCACAGAAGTATCCTTATTGATTACAAGTAAAAACCCCAATAAACTGTAACTTAGTAGCAGTGGGGGTTGTACGCACACATAAAACCTCAAGAAGCTGAGATCCATGACTCTGCAACACTACCAAACAGTCCTCTGCCAGTAGCAGAGACTGAACAGGGACAAGATTAAAACCTTCCCCAATTCCATGACCCACATGCTATACGGCTGCACCAGTGAAATCTGCCTGGATGACACGAGAAAACCCTGTGCTACATAGCCTACCGAGGATATTATCCCATCACAACACCAGACACAGCAAGATGGCAAGAGCTTCCACTTGGATGAAGACACTCATTTGATTAAACATTAAAATGAATACATAGATCCTCCAGGTATGATTATTTCAGTTAAGTTCATTCCACTATCCCAACAGAAAACAGAGTAAAAGCTACCATTAATTTTCTATCTTCCTTCAGATCATGATAAACACCACAAAGGAGCTCGCTGAAGCTATGCTGCTGCTGTTGCTGCTCTATCAGATTCATCATACAGGAGATTAGGCAGGTATCAAGTTAGACAAAAGGCCCCCAAACCGCCTTCTCTTATTGGCATCTCCATGACACTGACAGAGTATCTTGCACCCACCTGTTCACATAATTTCTGCCCATGATGCCCACGTTGTAATTTATCACATCCCAACCACTCTGTACTCAGTTTGTTTCCAGACTACCCAGCTTGCAGTTCAGAAAACCATCAGTCATTCAAATTCAGCTACACAAAACCATACATATGGCAGACTCCACAGCTGTATAGGCTAATACTCTTTCTGCAAAATAAGAAGCCACAGAGGCACAGTAAAGCCCCATTATTATAACACCACCCTCTACCATCAGCTGAGAGCCTGTGGAGAACTAGCTTTCAATACTACAAATGGCAAAATGTGCAGGAAGATTAGCACTGTAGAAGGGGATAACCTCCTTCTTCTGTATCGAGACAACAGATACTGGCATGGGTTGGTTCTCTGGTTCAGCTGCAACGCCTGTCACTGGAGTCAGTAGCCATGGTACCTGTCGCCAGGGTTTGAGTAGATGAACAGCACCCGTAGACCACATGAAGAATATGTTAGGGTTAAATCATCAAGCACTGGTAGCAGATGGGGTGGCAGAGTAACAATGAGAGGCTAAGAAAAGCCTCCAAGCTAGTTTACCATGAGGGTGGTGAAGCACTGGCACACACTGCACGAAGAAGCTGTGGGTGCCCCACCCTGCAAGTGTTCAAGGCCGGGTTGGATGGGGCTTTGAGCAACCTGGCCTAGTGGAAGGTGTTCCTGCCCATGGCATGGGGGTTGGAACTAGATGATCTCTAAGGTCCCTTCCAACTCAAACCATTCTGTGATTCCGTGGTTCCAGAGGTAACGCTCCAGCATGCCACCTTACTTCATTAGCCTAACTAGTTCCTGGGCATTTACTATTATTCCACTAACCTGAGCTAATTAATATTAGCATCAGCTAATACCCCATCCAAATTGCTATCATCCAGTACAGTCACCTACCAAGACCACCACCTGAGATTTGCAAATGGCTTCAGGTCTTCCTGAAATGTCTCCTTTACCACTGGCCTCTTACACTTGCAGAATCCTGCTAAAAGGAATTCTTCCTAACACACATGCAGCCACTTGCTACACTGTTCAATGGGCTTTAGAAAGGTGACGAGACACTACACTGGGAAGAACGATACAAAACTTACCCAGAATAAAATACATAGAATATAAACTCCATGCTATCATATCACTACTTACAGAACCAGCAGTTCTGCAAGTGCATGCCTTCTTCTGAAAGAGTACATACTAGCAAGTCTCAGAGACAAGACAGACAAAACATTGATTTGAAGCTTGCTGTGTTGAACTCCTGCACATCAAAAATACTCTTTGTTCCAGACCGATCTGTTATGCTGTTCTTCAACATCAAGATTTAGATGTTACTATTATGTCCTCTGATTACAATTAAGTCTTCAAGAAGTCATTTATATATTACCTTGCACTGGAATAATAAGGGTTTCCTTCCTCCTCGAACCTCCTAATGATTGGCTCCTTCAAAGCTGCTTCATCTGCCTCGGATAACTAAAAAAACAGGCAAATAAACAAACACAGGTAAGATACTTGTTAATATCTTCTTCCACAATGACAGCAGAGCTTTATATGCAGCATCAAACCTGAAGAAACTGCCTAAACGATTTCCCCAAAGTCTTCCCCCCTTTTTACACGCAATTATAAATCTGGCATATTTGACAATGAAATTAAAATACTACTTTTCAAAACAGGTTGGTGGGAAAAGGAGAGTAAAAATACTCTTAACTGAGTAGAAGAATAATTGAGTATTAGCATCTGCAAAATGACTGAAGCCACTGTACTGAATAAACCCTGTTCTGAGTTGCCTTTGGCAAGATTTTTTAATAAAACAAGTCTCTGCTATTCTAACACTGGGTTCCTCTGTGATCCTGAGCGATCACCACTGTAATACAGAAAACTTTCAAGTTCCTAACACATTTTCCTGCCATTACCTACAATTATTTTTCTCGAACTTCTTTCTGGGTATTATCCTGTCCATCCTAAGGATTTGGGAAATTAAGACAAAGAGAGATGAGGGTGAATATATTCTATCCACAGAAAGCCCAAGTAAAGAGTAGAAAAAAGAACTGTTGTGGTAACGCAGACATATCGCTTATTTTGAATAACTAACTACTCATGATAAGTACAAGCAATAAAATCATATCTGATGGGACCAAGGCACCAATATAAACATGAACCATGTAATTTAAAAAACACAACAGAAAAGAGTGTACAGAGAAACTAGAAACGATTATTAAACAAAATACCACTAATTTTCAATTAAAATGTAGAAATGAGTCAAAACCTTTTCCAAACCTCTCCAGACTTCTGCTGTTTCGTGATTCTCAGTCACTGAATAATTTGAACATCAGCTTTCTATAAAACTGCCTACTTCAAAAATAATTGAGAAGATACTTTGTTCTCACACATTCCTCCTCATACTCCCAAACCAGAGAGGATCCCTGGCTGCTCGTCTTGGGCAGAACTAATAATCTGGTGCACAAAATACAAAAATATGATGAGAAATACTCCTCTTTTTAAGCAAAGACAAGAAATGCCATGAACAGTCCTCACATTCATAAGCCATAAACAGTAACATTTCACAAGTGCTTCATGTTTGTCAGTGCACTAGGTGGCATGGGGAGAATAACACTTCATTGGTGTCTCACTCTGTAACATCCTTGCTGATCAAGTGAACAACTCCAGTGAAAGAGTAAATGATAATGACATCACTGCCAATGAAAGAAGAATGATGTACCTGTTTTCCCTCCCTTGCTTTCTGGTCCTTAGCTATTGTAGCTAGAACAGTTGCAGCTTGTTCCCCTCCCATCACTGATATGCGAGCATTTGGCCACACATAAAGAAATCTTGGACTGCAAAGACACATATTAAAAGTTAAAGTAAGACATTGCCTTACGTCTTAGTAAAGAACTAATTCTCATTCAGCTGAGAATTCCTCTCTATGCATGACAATCTTACAAAGTATTGTTTTTTAAAGAATGCAAATTAATGTACTTCAATGCATTATGTTCAAAAATGCAAAAATTCTGCTCACTTCCTATGTTCATGCACCTTAAAAATTTCTCTCTTTGAGTCTCTTCATTTCACAGCCCCCCAGGAATTTTTCTCTTTAAAAATATCACCAACTTCTAGTATCAGAGACCTTGAAAAATGAAAAAAAAATTTATGTGAGTCATGTCCGAAGGGTCAAAACCAAAAAATCCTTAGGGGTTCTGCAAACATGACTCATAAAAACAGGCTCATTAGAGTGAGTAAGGATTTTTTACACAAGCTGATATTCTTTGTATGAATGTAGAATAACGGACCAGCCCATACTGCCTAATGATTGTTGAGGACTGTACAATTTTTCCTCCAAGAGCTAAAATGGGAGAAAAGTATGTTAGCACGTTTACATGTTAGAAGATCTCCTCCATCGCCTAATTAAAGGTTAATCCTGACCCTACCAACCTCTATAGGTTTGTCGGGTTGTTATTTACTTATGGCCATATTCACTGAGAACTGTTTTGTTTGTCAAACTGCGCAACTTCTGCAAGAGTTTAGATAGTTTTTCAGAATGGTACTTCAAGGTTATGTTCTCTTAACTTCGTCTTATCCCTGTTACAATTTGAAGTAACACTTACCTATATGCTCTTCCACACATCCCATAGTTTCCAGCTCCGTAAGACCCACCGATAATCACTGTTATTTTAGGTACACTGGCACAAGCTACAGCTGTTACCATCTTGGCACCATCTTTTGCTATTCCTCCAGCTTCATATTCTCTACCAACCATGAAACCTACAGAATTACAATACGAAAAAAAGGCTCACTAACTTCTATTATTATACTGTGCTGTATGTCATACTATGTGTTTTATAGCACATGCAGAAAAAAATGAGAACAAATTGCAAGACAAGGCCGTCCAGCAGCTGCTGACAGGCTGATTTCCAAACAGGATGTAGATGCATGTACAACAAAGTACACAAGCTGCTGTCTAAAAGTCATAGCCTCAACAGTTAACAGCAAAGCCTACAACACAATGAAACTTCAAAATATTGAGCTTATTCACCTGTAATATTCTGCAAAAACACAATGGGAATATTTCTCTGGCAACACAACTGGATAAAATGTGTACCCTGTGGAGAGGAAATAAAAACATAATAATAAAAAAAGGTAAGCCATTGAAAGTTGGATCAGCAAAGCTATCACTACTCTGAAGTCTGTGACAAGTCTGCTTTCGCTGAAGTCTGCGGGAGTTGTTTGTATCATGAAGTGCTGTACTACTTCTGCTTCATCCAAAGTCAACTGCAAAAACATGCATTCACTCTAGCAGAAGTAAGAAAATGCCAAAAATGTGTGAGTCCAAGGGTAAAGCAGAAATAATATCCCTAAAAAGCATTACTGCTGATACTAGAAAGCTCTACTGTTTGACTCAGCTGATACGTAGTTAAACCACAGACAGCTTCACAGTGTGGCATCTGAATTGAGTTTTGCAAGACTGTGTCATGGAAATTAAGCCACCCAGTCAGAAAAAACAAATCTGCCCATTTCCTATACAAGAGAAAACTATTCTCTGAAACTGGGAAAGGCCCTCCCCCCCCATTTTCTCATGGCCCTGCCAATTGCTGTAACACTCTTCCTCAGGGCAGATGTCCTCTCCCCATTTTCTAGGAAAAGAACATTTTCCTAGCAAACATACAAATAGTGGATTCCAAGCTTCTGTTTCAACTAGAAATAATCTAAATCAATAAAGTTCCTCATGTTATTTACACACTGCTGATAAAAAACCAAAAAAGCTATGTAGCACAGCAACTGAAAAAACCTCTAACCTTTTCACAATACAGAACCAGCAAAATTTACAAAAAGAAGAAAAAGAGAGAGAAATCATTAATATTTAGCTAGCTTTTTCAGAGAAGCACTCAAAAAGCACAGTGACGATCATGGGAAAAAGATGTGTCACAATGCATTACAAAAATGGAAAAGAGAAAAAAAGGAGTATTGTTAGATTATGATGCTTATAGAAACAACATCCTCAACAAAGGTTTCTCTAGAAGTGAAGCAAGTGAAACTTGACCATGTCTTCTGATATGCTAGCAAAAGTCAGCAGAGGAAAATTCCTTATATTTTTTTCACAGGCAGGAAAAAAATTGCAGCACTAAATTACCAGAAAAATACTGAAAGTATTATAAATACTGAGTTATTTTCAACTTGGAAATAGCTGTGTTAAAACAAATGCTAGCCCAAAACAATGTCACTTACTGTAGTGCTCCAAGTTGAAAGTATTGCTTCAGTACGTGAAACTTTTTGTTTATTATTTTACTACAGCAGTAAATCAAATAAAATTACTCCCTTTCTCCAAACCTCTCATCAAGGCTTCCTTTTTCCTATAGATTTTCAATGCAGATTTCCTCATCACTAGTTTAAGGAGCCTGCTAGGCCAAAAGTACCATATATAATTGCTATTACAAAAAATTCAACTGACAGCAGTTTCTTGAAAAAATAAAGAACTAAACCAAACAACATAGAACAACATAGTAAGCAACCACTCTGCAATCAGTGTGGACTTTTCCTGTAATAGCTGTAAAGTTCAGAATATACTATTTTAACTGTGTTGTGGTCACACAAATTCAAATGCTATTTTTCTAACTATATTTTCGTATTGACCTGTTGACTTCATACCAGAAAAATCTATAGAACACTGTATCTAAAATATGGTTAATTAATTCCACAGCTTATTAAGCTATTCCATGTTTACATGAAAAACATGGAACCAGTCCACTTGCATTATTTAAAAAATTCTTCATTTCAAGAGCAAATTGTTCACCGGAAGTTTTGTTTCTCAATGTCAAAGAAGCTAATAATCTATTTATTTACCTTTTTTGCTGACTCTGAGAAAAGAACTCCATTGTTTCCAATAATTCCTACTGGATAACCAAATATTCTTGCGAATCCTGAAGAGGAAAGATAAATTTGTAAGTTCTCACATATATTTATTTTACCATAGCATATAAAGGTAACATTTTCTCTTGGTAACAGAAACTGCTATTCTTTTGAAGAAAAGTTATAAAAAATATCAATGGGTAAGCCTAACAGAACGAATACAAATATAAAACCAGTAAGAACATACATAGAACAATTATAATAATATTTCTAAATACCTGTAATTAAAGTATCCCCATACAAGGCTTTGAATTCATCAAATTTACTTCCGTCTACAATTCTAGCAATGAGCTTAAGAAAAGATAGAAAAATGAAATAAAATTCCTAATCCTTCATACTTGTTAACTTGTTTAGAAAGAAAGACCATGCTAACATTTAACTTAAAATAAATGCTTTCTATTTAGAGACCATCAAGCAGACTGCCATATAAATAGTCTGGATGGCAGGCAAAGCCCATCTACTTTTAAAGTGTGATTTATCTACATGTTTCTAAAAAATGGAATTTCAAGATTAAGAATAATCTAACAGAACAGTTCAAATTACACAGAAACAAAGTCTTCCTGATTAGTTAAATTTCAAAGAAAAACTGCTACCTCTGGTTATATTAAACATTAATCAGTAGACTCACATAAAGAGAAAAACGTATACAGCCATGAGTCACTTTCTTACAGATAAGTTTATTTTCAGCTTTGCTTAAGTTTGTGACATACAAAAATAATGAAGATCTGTTCTGAGGTTTCTCAGAGATGCAAAGGAGCCATTTTATATAAACATAGACCCATTGCTAGCAAGAAATTTGCCAGAAGATACTCATTTCAACTTTAAAAGATCATAAATCCAAACTATTACAACTTTGCAGAGCATAGTGCAAGTGAGACTTAATAATTAAGTGTTCACCTTTTTTTCCCTTAACAAAAAGCAAATCCTAGTAATTTCTGATGAAGTATTTTAGAAGGTACATACTAAGACTCTTTCTAAAAGAAACAGTTGGTTGGTAGTGAAAAAGGCTCTGAATATGGGATCTACGCAAAATCTGACATAGGATGTGGTCTTGGATGAGGGTACTGAGCCAAGTAACTACACTAGACCTGCAGTAGAGTACAATAGTATCCATATGCGGTTGGGAGAGCATAGAAATGTTTGGGGTGCTTATACTCCATATATTTTTAAATATTTGATCTTTACTTTCACAGGATTAACAGAAAAAGAAAGCTACCATATCACTTGGCAAGTCCATACAATGCTTTGCCAATGCAAAGTTCCCTATTTTCCGTCACTTTTTTCAGAATGTTATCAATCTCTCATCTTTGCTCACTCTTCTTAAAAGTATAAACAAAAAGCATTATATTTTCAACATGTCATTGCCATAGCAATGGATCCACTGGACAAAAAATCTTAAAAAAAAAAAAAGGCTGAAAGATTTAATGAAATTTAAATATTCACTATATACCCCAAATCAGATTTCTATAGACAAACTATGATGACATAAAGAGTGATTTCCTGCAAAAAAAAATGAGTACATGCATGCATGGGCATGCAGATCTTGCATTTACATTCCCACCTCCTTGACATCAAAGTTTCTTTTCAGCTGGTCGCCAACTATTCCATATATCTCATCAGCAGG